CAGCAGGTCCAGCTCCTAGGCGGGGGGGCCATGGGGATCCACGAGCTACCACTGCCCCAAGCTCCACACTCCCATTGGCTGGGAACTGGCCAATGGGAGCTGTGGGGGGTGGTGCCTGCAGGCGAGAGCTGCGCAGAGCCGCTTGCGGCCTCTGCCTAGGAGCCAGACCTGCTGCTGGCTGCTTCTGGGGCACAGCGCTGTCCGCAGTGCCAGGACAGGCAGGAAGCCTGCTTTAGCACCCCACTGCATCGCTGACCAGGAACTGCCTGAGCCCCAGTCTCCTGCCCCAGGCCTGAGCTCCCCCAAACCCGGAGCCCCCTCCTGCACCCCAAACCCCTCATCCCCAGCTCCGTTGGGTCACGGGCATGAACAATTTTCTTCTGCTGGGTCCCCAGAAAAAACATTTTAAAACCACTGTCTTGGGGTATGTCTACACTACAGCTGAAAGTGAGTCTCCCAGTGGAGATGGACAGAACTAGAGTACTAAAAATAACAATGTGGATGTCCCGGCTCAGGCTCTCAAGCCCACCGAACCCTCTAGGCTTCAGAGCCTGAGCTCCAGCCCAAGCCAGAATGCCCACGCTGCTATTTTTAGTGTGCTAGCTCAAGGCCCACTAGAGCGAGTCTGTCTGCCCAAGTCCACAGGCTCACTCCCAGCTGCAGTGTAGACATTGCCAATCTTTTATCTCTTGAAATAGGATGAATGTCAATTATACTTTTGAGGCTGCTTTAATCTGGCGAGGTGTGACCTTGCTTATTATCATATCAGGCATTCAAGCATCCTTCATATTAATACTATGACAATAAACTCTGCTCTTATCACATACAGAATGACTTCTCTGGCACAGTATATGCTGTGTGTTCCAGTCTCATTCATTATTGTGTTTGCTTTCCTGGGCAAACAGTTTTATTTCAGCAAAAAGAATGAGGAGTACTTGTGGCACCTTAGAGACTAACAAATTTATTTGGGCAGAAGCTTTCGTGGGCTAATGAAGTGAGCTGTAGCCCACAAAAGCTTATGCCCAAATAAATTTGTTAGTCTCCAAGGTGCCACAAGTTCTCCTCCTTCTTTTTGCTGATATAGACTAACACAGCTACCACTCTGAGTTTTATTTCATAGATTCATAGAGTTTAAGGCCAGAAGAGACCAGATCATCTAGTATGACTTACTGTTTGTCTTTACATTTCTTTCAGTTACCCCTGTATTGAGCCCAATAACTTATATAGTGTTTGGCTAAATCATATCTTCATAGAGTTATAGATTGTAAGGCCAGAAGGGACAACTGTGATAATCTAGTCTGACCTCCTGCATAAAACAGACCATAGAGCTTTCCCCTAAGTTATTCCTGTTTGAACTAGAAAGGCATCCAGGCTTGATTTGAAGACATCTGGAGATGGGGAATCCATCACTACTTACCTTAGTAGTTTGTTCCAATAGTTAATTACCATCACAGTTGAAATCTACGTTTAATTTCTAATCTGAATTCGTCTGGCTTCAGTATCTAGCTGTCAGTTCTTATGACCTTCTCCATTGGATTGCTGAGTTTGTTAGCACTTGGTATTTTCTCCCTGTGAAGGTACTTACACACTAATCAAGTCACTTTTCAATCTTTTTGATGAGCTAAACAGATTGTGCTCTTTAAATCTCTCACTGTAAGGCATTTTCTCTAGACCTTCAATCATTTTTGTGGGTCTTCTCTGCACCCTCTCCAATTTCTCAACATCCTTGTAAAAATGTGGACATCAGAACTGTACACAGCATTTCAGTCTCCATCTCACCAATGTCATATACAGAGATATAATCACCTCCCTACTCCTACTATACTCTGTATATATCTCCAACGATCACACTGGACTTTTTGCCACAGCACTGCCCTGGGTGCTCATGTTCAGTTCCTAGTCCACTGTGACCCTTAAATCCTTTTCAGAGTCACTGCTTTCCAGGATACAGTCACAAGCTCAATAGGTATCACCTGCATTCCTTTTTCTCAGATGTATAACTTTTCATTTGGTTTTATTAAAACACATTTTGTTTGAATGAGCTCAGTTTATCAAGAAATCCAGATCACTAGATGACTGCCTTGGCCTCATAATTATTTCCTACCTCCTGCAACCTAGCATTTCAAAAGGTTATTTTATCCTTCAGAGTTCCCTACTCGTAACATACACTTTGGTCAGAATTTAGTTCCTGTGTATATCTTTTCAAATCAAAGTCTAAATTAACTTCCCCACAGGACAACTCTGTCTTCCCTTGCCTGAAGTACCTTTCCAGTGTTAATTAGTCCTTCACTGGTCTAGCTTGGAATGTTACTTGAAACAATTTGCCATTATCTCCAACTTAATTTAAATATTTAAATGGAACATATTTTCATTAAGTCTGTGATCCTTAATAACACCAATCCACAGCAAATATGGTGGCTTGCTGTACATTATTCAATCTGTCACACGCTGTATAATCTTGGTGTTTTCTACACATCTGAATTCTTAAGGTAAAGTGGTGAAAATGGGACAGATTCCTGACGAGGGTGAATCTTGGTGTGATATATTAGAGATTAGGCAAACCCTGGGTGGTTTGGATGCAGATCAAATTTTATTAAAACCTGCAAAGTCCAAATGTGGAGTAGTGATGGGGCCAGTTTGGATAAATGATTCCAGTTTTCATCCATCACTAGATATGTTCATTGTATTCCTTTTTATTTCACTCAAGCATTCCGTTTTTAAAAGTATTTCATTATTTGAAAATCATTTATTTTCAATATGCATTTTAATAACACATCATAATATATTTCAGAATATTTGTGATACATAGTTATTTTCATCACCAACATCTGTCCTTCAGATAATTCCAAAAGTCATTTTATTATCCTTAAATATCCAAAACAAAGAAATAGAGAGAAGTTCAAAAAAGATAGAGAAGAATGACTAATGCTAATACTGCACCCAGCTGCTTCTTTTCCTTGTCTTCCAAGGCTGATCTCCTGTCAGATGTGGGCAGCTTCCACTCTCACAACTAAACTGTATTTGTTCAGCTCTGTATAACTTGGATTATAAACTCTTCAGTGCAGGAATGAGGAGCACATTCTCAGCTGGTGTGAATTGTCAAAAGACAATCCCAGTGTTTATTGGACCACCTGGAGAGTTCCCTAAGGGTACGAATGAGCAGCTCAGGAATCGTTAGGAATCCTAGAATCGTAGGACTGGAAGGGACCTTAAGAGGTCATCTAGGTCATGGCACTCATGGCAGGACTAAGTGTTATCTAAACCATCCCTGACAGGTGTTTGTCTAACCTACTCTTAAAAATCTCCAATGATGGAGATTCTACAACCGCCCTGGACAATTTATTCCAGTGATTAACCACCCTGACTGTTAAGATTTTTTTCTTAATGTCCGACCTAAACCTTCCTTGCTGCAATTTATGCCAATTGCTTCTTGTCCTTTCCTCAGAGGTTAAGGGAGAACAATTTTTCTCCCTCCTCCTTGTAACAGCCTTTTATGTTTTTGAAAACTGTTATCATGTCTTCTCTTCTCCAGACTAAACAAACCTAATTTTTTCAATCTTCCCTCATAGGTCATGTTTCCTAGACCTTTAATCATTTTTGTCGCTCTTCTCTGGACTCGCTCCAATTTGTCCACATCTTTCCTGAAATGTGGCACCCAGAACTGGACATAATACTCCAGATTAGGCCTAATCAGTGTGGAGTAAAGCAGAAGAATGACTTCCCATGTCTTTCTTACAACACTCCTGCTAATACATCCCAGGATGATATTCACTTTTTTTTGCAACAGTGTTACATTGTTGATTCATATTTAGCTTGTGATCCGCTATGACCCCCAGATCCTTTTCCACAGTATTCCTTTGAGGGCAGTCATTTCCCATTTTGTATGAGTGCTACTGATCATTTCTTCCTAAACTGAGTACTTTGCATTTGTCCTTCCTGAATTTCATCCTATTTACTTCAGACCATTTCCACAGTTTGTCCAGATCATTTTGAATTTTAATCCTATCCTCCAATGCACTTGCAATCCCTCCCAGCTTAGTACTGTCTGCAAACTTTATAAGTGTACTCTCTATGCCCTTATCTAAATTATTGATGAAGATATTGAACAGAACCAGACCCAGAACTGGTTCCTGCGTGTCCCCTTTCCATATACCCTTCCAGCTCGACTGTGAATCATTGATAACTACTCTTTGGGAACAGTTTTCCAACCAGTTATGCACCCACTTTATAGTATCTCCACATAGGTTGTATTTCCCTAGTTTGTTTATGAGAAGGTCATCTGAGACAGTATCAAAAGCCTTTCTCAAGTCAAGATATACCGCATCTACCTCTTCCCCTCTATCCACAAGGCGTGTTACCCTGTCAAAGAAAGCTATTAGGTTGGTTTGACATGATTTGTTATTGACAAATCCATGCTGACTGTTACTTATCACTTTATTATCTTCTAGGTGTTTGAAAATTGATTGCTTAATTATTTGCTCCATTATCTTTCCAGGTACTGAAGTTAAGCTGACTGGTCTGTAATTCTCCAGATTGTCTTTATATCCCTTTTTATAGATTGGTGCTATATTTAAGCTTTTTCAGTCATAGTTCCATGAACTTAAAGTGAGCTATAACAATTTACACATCTGGCCCCATGCCTTCCCACATGTTTTGTACAGAGCTATAAATAACTATAGTACTATGGAAATAAGAACACAAGTAAATATGGCAGTTAGATTTATACAGGAGTATTTGCTTTGGGTCAAATCTAGTCCCAGCTCCCACTCTGAGTATGTAGGTTAGACACAGGGGAGATATACAAGGGGAAGGAAGAGAGATTAATCTTTTTCCCAATATAACCATTCCATGGAGCCTGCTCTAACATAATGGTTAAAATGGGGTTGGAAGGACTGGAGGATCTACACAGCCACTGCCAACTTCTCTGTCCCCTGACAAGAAGCTTTTGTCTATAGATTTTTCTACAGTATAACTAGTCTTCATGTTCTTTATTGTTCCAGGTGACTGGTATGAGCAGCTTTATCCCCTCATAATTACACTCAAGGACTGCATGGGAGAGGTGGTGACAAGGGCAAAGCAATCAATGACTTTTGTTCTACTTCAGGAACTTGCATGTGGCTTGCCACAGCATTTGATGCTGACCCTAAGAAGAGACATCGTCTTTAGTCAAGCAGTAGGTGCTTCTTGAGTCACTGTTTTTCTGTTGTGATTACTGTTTGTTATTTACATGATTGTAATTAATCATGGCATACATGCAGGTATTCGCCATTTCTTTTAACGGAACACAACTTCTTCATTTGTGTTAATTCATTCACTTTAATGTTCTGTACTATGATAAACAATTAATTGATTTAGGTTGGGTTTTCAAAGGACTTAAATGAATAAATGTCATTGAATTTAAATAGGAGTTGGGTGCCTAATTACCTAGGCTCCTTTGAAAACCTCAGCCTTAAATATTAATAGACTTAGGGGCATCTTTCTGATCTCAGTTACAGCAGTGTAAATCAGAAGTAATCCAACTTGAAGTCAATGAAGTTTCATGGGTGTAAAACCAATTTAAGGTCAGAATGAGATCCATATATTTTATGTATATGTTACCCTACAAAATACCATAATATACAATTGAGATGATAAATATTCACCAAACAGGTATTTCCATCTTGTTCCTCAGTCACCAAAGTACAACCTGTATCCTGTAGAAAAATAGCAAACATAGTTATAAAACTCTTAGATTACACTAATTAATCTGTTTTTGTTGTTGTTGGTTTTTTAGCTTGCTGGATTGGTCTGTGGGTTTATAATCAAACTGCACACAAGTTTACATGATCAAGGCTTCCTACAGCAGCTTCATATTGTTGGGTTAATTGTTCAATATGAAGGACTTCTCAGCACTTATAGTAAGTATTGCCCTGCAACAACATTGCTTAGTATTTTTTACAAACCAAGAAGTTCATCCAGTAGGTTCTTATTTTAACTTTCATTCAGTAATTTGGCTTATTGAATCAACAAATATTACCCTAATACAAAATAGCAGGCTTCCATACAATAGCACAGTTAAAGCCATTGATATAGTACTGTATGTCAATTCAGCATAATAAATTATAGTAATGTATTTTTTTCAGGTTTCAGAGTAGCAGCTGTGTTAGTCTGTATCCACAAAAAAACCCAGGAGTACTTGTGGCACCTTAGAGACTAACAAATTTATTTGGGCATAAGCTTTCGTGGGCTACAGGCCACTTCATCAGATGCACTGAATGGAACATATAGTAAGAAGATGTATATATACATACAGAGAAGGTGGAATTTGCCATACAAACTGTAAGAGGCTAATTAATTAAAATAAGCTATTATCAGCAGGAGAAAAAAACTTTTGTAGTGATAATCAAGATGGCTCATTTAGGCAGTTGACAAGGAGGTGTGAGGATACTTAACATGTGGAAATAGATTCAATATGTGTAATGACCCAGCCTCTCCCAGTCTCTATTCAAACCCAAGTTAATGGTATCTAGTTTGCATATTAATTCAAGCTCAGCAGTTTCTCATTGGAGTCTGTTTTTGAAGCTTTTCTGTTGCAGAATTGCCACCCTTAAATCTTTTACTGAGTGGCCAGAGAGGTTGAAGTGTTCTTCTACTGGTTTTTGAATGTTATGATTCCTGATGTCAGATTTGTGTCCATTTGTTCATCAGAGATCTACAACCTATTCTGAAAAATGATCCCTCACTCTCACAGATCGTGGGAGACAGACCAGTCCTCCCTTACAGACAGCCCCCCAACCTGAAGCAAATACTCTCCAGCAACCACACACCACACAACAAAAACACTAACCCAGGAACCTGTCCTTGCAACAAAGCCTGATGCCAACTCTGTCTACATATTTATTCAAGTGACACCATCATAGGACCTAATCACATTAGCCATACCATCAGGGGCTCGTTCACCTGCACATCTACCAATGTTATATATGCCATCATGTGCCAGCAATGCCCCTCTGCCATGTATGTTGGCCAAACCGGACAGTCTCTACGTAAAAGAATAAATGGACACAAATCTGTAAACTATACTAGTACTTGTAAACTATAGTAGTACAAGTGTTTAGCCAGACCCAAATAATTGGTTTATACAAATAAGTCAGCTACCCAATTTAAATACACCCAATATAACACTGTCCTCGGCAGCCAAAAAATCTTACCGTGTTATAGGTGAAACTGCGTTATATCGAACTTGCTTTGATCCACCGGAGCGCACAGCCCCGCCCCCCTGGAGCATTGCTTTACCACATTATATCCAAATTCGTGTTATATCGGGTCACGTTATATCGGGGTAGAGGTGTACCTACTAAATCTATAATCTACTGCCAGTCAGTATTTCTGGAAATTACATGTCAGTCTTTGTGATGTGAAGATAGCGCTAAACTATTTAAATTCCCAACGGCTTCATAGATGCTGTGACAGAGTACACCACAGCTTACTAGTTCACCTTAGAACACAGCTTTGCTTAACACACAGTACTTAGATTTGTTTATAGAGAAAGCAAGTACAGGTTTATTTGACAAAGGATAGCAGATTCATTTGATAGCAAACAGAAATGTTAGAAACAAAGGATTACATATGAAACAAAATCGTAATGTGCTTTCTATGGCCTAAACTTAACTAATAAGTTGTTCTCCTGTATAAAGAAGTTTATTTCACCCAAAGTTCTTCCCGGTGATTTCAGCCAAGCCTGACTGAGATCCCTTTTTCATGAAACAAACCCACTGTCAGTTTATTTCCTTGGTGAAGGATGCCAGAGCATCTTTTCTCACCACTAGATAACCAGACCATACCTTTGATTTTCAACTGAAAATAGGATAATCCCTTCCCCCCTCATACCGCACTGTTTACCTCTTCCTGATTATTTTCTTTTGAAGTCCTTGCAAGCTCTTCATTAGCAAGACCTTACCACAAGACACTCAATACACAATAGTTAGCTAGGGAGATGAGTGTCTCCCATCTCCTGTATGGAGAAGTTTTTCTCCAGGCATTCTACCTTTGAGTGACTTCCCTTTAACTACAAGGTCTTAAGAACATAATTTCCCATATTTATACACACACACACACACACGTCTTTTTATATATTATCTGTATATACATTTCGTAATGATTATGATGACCAGGGTGACTTTTCAGTAAAGACCTTACATGACCCCTTTTGGTGAACCCTGTAACCCTACATACCCCGGGTCCTCTGCCATTTGGCACCAAGAGGTTTTTGAATCACAGATGCCAAAACTGATAGCTATTAAGTGGGACATACGAAGAGAAAAATTGCAACACACTTTGAAATGCACTGAAGAGGATGGATTTTTTTCAGTCAGGCCGAGTTGTTTTTTTCTGAAAATAGCAACTATCCCACTTAAGTAGGGACAGTTGGTATCAATGCAGCCCTTTGCCATTCCCAAAATCAAGTTTTACTGTGTCCCGCACTACAAAACTACCTCAGTATAAGGGGCTCTCTGGGTCAAGTTTGTCAGAGGTGCACCCGTTATAATACTCAAAATCTTTGCCCTCCAAGAGCAGAAGAGTCTTTAAAGGGCTTGTCAATATGGGCAAAATTTTGAAACCTGTCTGCCGTAAAGTTGTGTCCCTTGAATGTAATGACCTGATTTTCAAAAGTACCCAACACCCACAAGTACTAGTAAGGTCAGAGGGGCAGAAAGTTCTCTACTATTTTTATTTAGATGCCTTAAATGTGAATTTAGTAAAGTAACTTTAGTCACTCTGGTTTGAAATGTATTACACTTATTATCATACTAGCATACTTTTCAGGAATAGACACTAGCTAGCCAGTCATGTCTGCATCTGTTAACATCTTTTGTAATTTTTCTGTACAGGTGAGGAAATTGGGATGCTAGAAGATATGGCTGTGGGCATTTCAGATTTACAGAAAGTAATGTTTAAAATAATTGAAGCCAAATCCAATGACTTCTTGCCTGTAATAACTGGAAGGCGGTAAGTGTTGTCCATTTCTTGAAGCACAAGCCCAGAGACATGTAGCTTTCACTTGTGCCAGTAACATCAAGTGGAAACTCAATGTTTTTCTTTTTGCTGTGTTCCCTTATGTGGGGAATGCTATAAATGTAACTTGTCTGAAGAGTGAATAGAGGGCCTGTAAAGGTAGTAATGTCCTAACGAGCCTGTAAAGGTAATAATGCTTTGTACTTTCTAGTGTAATGTCTTTGTATTTTCAGCTGAGGATCTCAAAGTTACAAATGTTAATACATATTAATTCTTACAGTGTCCCTGTGAGTTGTGTACCTGGTGTTATCCATTTTTATATACAGGGAAATTGAAGCACAGAGAGGTCAGGGCCAAAATTTTCAAAAGTGGCATCTAAGTTTGGTTGCCTCAACGCAGGGGCCCAGCTTGAAACACTGGAGGCCTTGTCTTCAGGGGAGCTGAGCACTCCATTTCCATTCACTTCTGTGGAGATGTGGCGTTGCATCTCTGAAGATCTGACCTGAAGCGTCTCTCAACTGGGAACCCAAAATTAAGATGACCCAAAATTCTGAAAAATTGAACCTACATGATTTGCCTAAGATCATACAGGACATTTGGGGCAGAGCTGGTTGTAAAAACAGATATTTTTAATCCCTACCTGTGCTTTAAATACTACTGCACTTTGCTTCTCAAAGAAGTAGTACTTAAATTTAGTACATAAATTAAATACAGAAATAGTGTCTGTGACATACGGGGATTGAAAAGGATAGTTTGCCTGTGATGAACTTTTTTTCTTTGTTGTTAGCCTAGTCTAAAACTTCAAATGTTGTTACTTGTGCAAGAATGATTTCCTTAAGAGTGCTATAATTCTTAAGATGACAGTAAATTAAATTCAGCTAAAAGCAGCAACTTTTTAGAAAAGATGCATTGCCACGGTTGGGGGAAGGAGTGGACATTCACCGCTATTTTTCTTTATTATTCCTGACAATTCATTCTCATACTGTGCACTTTCTGAGAAGGAATTGAAATAAATAGCCAGGAAGGTCAGAGCATGATGGGAAAACATCAGGAATAATTAAGAAAAATTATGGCATATAAAGTAGACCCTGAACAGAAGAAATATGTCCTTTGTAAACGTTCCCATCAAAAGTCTTGAAAAATCCAACAGCCACTGTTACTGGCTTGGTACCATTACTGCTGCTGATTGAACTGTCATGCTAGGAGGTCCAGGTTTTGAAATAGACATGGGCTTTAAGATGCCTGTGGCATTATGGATTGATAGAAGAGACAGCTGTCAGGAAGAGGACTTACTGGCTATCATTACTATACTACACTTACTGGTGAGTGAATCACTGAATGACATGGGTGGTATCAGTTTATTAAAAGGAAGCTTTACCTCTGCTGAGCCCCATTCCTGTTAGAGATGTGATGACACAGTATTGATCAGGGGCATAGGAGGTTAAATGTAAAGAGCAAAAGTAGGGTCAAAATCTAACAATTTTCTAATCACTGTAAAAAAAATATTTTCTGACTAACTTTTATCCTTTTTTAGGTTAGTCTTATATAATAGAGGTCTCTAAAATGAAACTTACAGGGACAATGCAGAGCTGCTAGACAGAAAATTCATTTACCTCTTTTTGTTATAAAGCTTGCAAAGTCAGAGTATTATCTGGTAATTTGCTTTGCAGGGAAATGCTTAGGTACTCAGTTTTATGTGTGAAAACAAGTCAATCCAAACATCACAGCTCTAATGTGTGCTGCAGCCCCAAAACATCTTTCAGGAAACAGTGTTCAGTTTCACATGCTTAAAGGGTTGTTATAAGCAAAAGTAGTTAAAAAAAAGTGGTATTTTTAAAAATTCCTTGGTAATTTTTTTTTGTTATATACATGAAATTTGAGGCATGAGAGGGTAGTTTATTATAAAAACTTTCAACTAGTGTTTTTTATCATCGCTGCATGGTTAAGGTGCAAGACTAGTAAAGTTAAATAGATAATCCCCAAATTTAAATCATTAATACCTAAATGTGCTGTTGTGATTTATTGTTGTTCTCTTGAACAACCTAGTTTTTTTGTTGCAAGAGACTGTATTAAATGCTAAAATTTTGTAATGATTTTTAGGAACACAGGACTGGAAGTGACCTCCTGGATCATTAAATCTAGTCCCCTGCTATCACAGGCAACCCCGCACATAATGCCGTACATTAGTTTATGGAGCTCTATCTTTAAACTAGTTAGGAATAGTAGGGGCAAACAACCTCTGGAAGGCTGTTCCAGAACCTCATTCCTCTGATGGTTAGAAACCTAATTTCAAAGCTAAATTTATTCATGGCCAATTTATACACACTTGTTCTCTTGCCAAAATTGTCCTTTAATTTTTATGCTAAGCCTTCCACTCACTGGGAAATGTAGTTGTATAACCCAAATCAAATCCACTAAGCCTGTCTACATTGAATCCAGCCAAAAAGGAAAAAGTAAATTACATAGCAAAGAAAGATTTTGTTTTATTACTATACCTTATTTAAACCAAACCGGTAAAGCAATAGTAAATTAGTCTCAAATGAGTGCTTTGGATTACAATGATTGTTGTCTTCTTGCCTGACTTCAGTGTTGCTCTTGGGCCGTGAAGATATCCTATTATCCCAGCTCAGTAGTATTTCTCAAAATAATTTGAAAAGCAGCTTTTGTCATTGTGCAATTTAATGGAAATTGAAAAAGTCACACAAGATGGTACCACTGTGGAGCATACACTGTCCCAAGCATACAAAAAATAAAAACAAAAAACACCACATGTAAACACCACTGTTTCAGTTTGTCATATCCAAAGGCGACATCTTACAATGATTTTTTGATAGCCAAAAGACATAGTGATTCTTGGATGTGAAATGCAGTGATTATGATGGTCCTCTGGACTTGATGTTTAGCAGAACATATTTTTAAAATTAGACCAAATCAACATTTCTTTTCAATCTCATGCAAGCATACCATATTAGTAGTACAATAGCATTTGACAGTCAAGATTCATCAATTAGGAACTCCAACCCACAGGCCTGGAATGAGTGGCATTATGCAGAGGTCACCTGAAAAGAGTTTTCTGTGCAAGCAGAAACTTCATAAACTCTGTACTGCTTTAAACTTGGGAATTAAATACAGAAAACATAAATTAGTCTTATCTGGGGCATAGATACTTTTTTGCTTTGAGACTCGCATAACTAGCACACAGCTAATAGATTCATAGATGTTAAGGTCAGAAGGGACCATTATGATCATCTATTCTGACCTCCTGCACAACGCAGGCCACAGAATCTCACCCACCCGCTCCTGCGATAAACCTCTCACCTATGTCTGAGCTACTGAAGTCCTCAGATCATGGTTTAAAGACTTCAAGGATCAGAGAATCCTCCAGCAAGTGACCCGTGCCCCATGCTACAGAGGAAGGTGAAAAACCTCCAGGGCCTCTTCCAATCTGCCCTGGAGGAAAATTCCTTCCTGACCCCAAATATGGCGATCAGCTGAACCCTGAGCATATGGGCAAGATTCACCAGCCAGATATCCAGGAAAGAATTCTCTGTAGTAACTCAGTTAGTAACTAATGATACTGCTCATGAGAGTTCCTACTTTATAGAGCATTTGCTGCTTAACAATACCAGATTTGCACTAGTGCTAACTGAGCCAGGGCATGTGTCACACCCCTGGCTGAGTCCTTGCCTGTGCGTAGTCACCAATCTGCTTTATTGGACCCAATCTTCAGATCCTGCATGCTTCCAAGCACACCAGGTCTGGGCAGTGTCTCTAGCTCTGGCCTCTCAGACACACGCCCAGGTTGCAGATTCCCTAACTGACAGCCCATTGGATGGTGGGGCACCATGGTCCAGCTGCCCAGACTTCCAAGACCCCTTCCAAGTTTCCCCCATAGCTTATGCACACTCTCGCCAGAGCTCCACCCATGTGGGCATGCCAGATTATAGTTTAACTCTTCTGGGACCACATGACACGTAAGGAACACAGAGATTTTACAAAAGAACTTCTTAAACACCACCCACACATTACTCTTAAACAGTACAAGGATATAAGACCTATGCAAAAACCGTTTATGCTCTCCCCGCTGAGTCTATACTAACCCCTTCTGTGAGTCCTTAGGTCCTGTCCCTGTGTAAGGTGGGTAAATCCCTCCTTGCCTTCTTCCTCTTGACACCCCCTCTGCTTCCTGTCAATGTTTGGTTTCAATCCTCTCTGGCTGGCTTGGCAGCCTTCATTGGGTAATTAAAGTCCCAGCCCTCTGGAGAGAAACTGGGAGAACCAGCTTCCTTTAGCTTAGTCCCCCTGTTTATCGAACCCATTGTTCTTGGTGGGGAGAGGCACATTTGTTATCATTGTCATTCAGGGTTAGAAAGACCTAGACACAAGCCCCACTTCAACAAGATGATGATGCAATCCAACATGATGGATACAGTGTACAAGGAAAGACACAATCAAGGTTATATTAAAAATAGAGGCTGAAACATGGTTTTCACAAAATCAGACAGGGGACACAGATATAACACACAAACTGTCACATCATATCACTTCTAAAACACCAGAATTCATATTTGTGTAATGAGCCATCCTGTACTTTTAAACTGTATTTTCATAGTGCCACTTCTGCTTCAGAGGATGCTTTCTATCCAAGGAGTGAAGTCCTGGCCCACTGAACTCAATGCAAATTTTACCATTGACTGCAGTGGGGCCAGGATTTCACCCAGGGTTTTCACTGGGTACAAGAAATTATGCACTTGTATTACAGGGTACTTCAGGTCAATTCTTGTGCAGACCAAACGGAAATGGTGGTGTAGCTCAGCATATGGCATTTTAATATTTGAAGTGCCTTCATTAATATTTCTATAGCAAGTGATAATGAGGCAAAAGGCTCTTCCTTAATTTTTCTACTGTCCTCACATTTTAATCCTTTTTTTCCACTTCAGTGAAGAAGTCATTATCTAGACCTAGTTTATAATTATATTACTGATCCTATTTCCATATAGATTTGCTTTGGTTTCAAAACAAAAATAAATAAAAAAGACTTTAAGTGAAGGTTTGACACAATTAACAGGAGGGAAAAACATTGATTTCTAAGTGTAAACATCCTTTGCTGTGGGACCTAGGAGGGTGATAGTTTAGACTGAACAGCTAGATATTCTCATCTCTTATACTTCCTTTTATTTTCCTAGTGAACATTATGTAATAGAGGTCAAGCTTCCAGCAAAGATGTTTGAGTTGCTGCCACAAGAGATCAAAGAAGGAAAGCAGCTGCATGTGTACCCAGTCCTCTTTAATGTTGGAATCAATGAACAGCAAACACTTGCAGAGAGGTAAGGCAGCACCTTTAGAAAGATACATGTTTCAGTTTCTGCTTCTGGATGTTGTGCTAGTCCAGATGGTCTCTCACAGGATTACATAGGAATCTTGCTTATTACTTGCCCTTGGGCCAACTCAGATTGTTTTGGTACATATTAAAAACATAAATCACATTAGGGAGATAATCAGATGGTACGAACTAAAACAAACAGTGCAAAAAGTCAGGAAAAGATATGTAATAAGTATATTAATCTATTTCCTACAGTTAAAGCCTGATTTGTTCTTTAATACACACTTAGCTGTAGTTCACACTGACAGAAGCACTGTGTTCTCAAAGAACAGATTTTGGCCCTTTGAAACATCTCTTGGAAAATCCTAAAACTACTTAATTTGTTATCATAGCATGTGAAGCTGAAATGTTGGGCAGGTAATAGGCACTGGGAGATGCATACTTTCCTCACATTTTTAAAATTGATAGTATGGGGCTCATGAGTAGAGGTAATAGATAATAAAGTAATAATGGGTTATATTATTAATAGCCTTATAATGGCAGGAATGATGGGGTTGTATTTTCTTAAACTTTTAATGTATAAATGTGCCTGCACACCCAGAATGCCTAGCTATAGCCTCAAGACAATTCTATATATCAAGCTAGTCTTCCTATTGTACAGTTCCTGTCAAAGATTCACCAAACTATTCACCTGCTTCCTAGGTGAAGGACAGCTCTGGGTAATGTTAAATAACATACGTGACTACAAGGAAGAACCTCCAGAGTTACACACTGCTAGTATTACTAGGTGCACTGTACAATTAGACAAAACATATTATTTGTATTTATTATTTGTATGATTGTATGTCATGGACCAGGACTCCAATGTGCTGTACAAACACAAAATAAAAGATGGGCCTTGCCCCAAAGAGTTCACAATCTAAGGTTATGTCTGCACTTGGAGCTGGACGTCTATTTTCCAGCTCAAGGAGACATACCTGCGCTAGCTTTGATTGAGCTGGCATGCTAAAAATAAAGTGTAACCTCAGCAGCAGGAGGGGCTAGCTGCCCCGAGTCCATGTTCAGCCGAGATGGCAGTCTCTATTCAAGCTGGAATTTAAACCCCAGCTCTATGTGAAGACATACTTTAAGTACAGTAACTCCTTAACGTTGTAGTTATGTTCCTGAAAAATGCGATTTATGTGAAACAATGTTAAGCGAATTCAATTTCCCCATAAGATTTAATGTAGATGGGGGCGGGGGTTAGGTTCCAGGGAAATTTTTTTCGCCAGACAAAAGACATTATATACATATACAGTATAAGTTTTTAACAATTTTAAACAAACAGTTTAATATTTCACACAGCAATGAATGATTGTTGAGGTGCTTGGTTGAGGTGGAAGAGTGAGGTGGTGGAATATTTCCCAGGGAATGTCTTGCTGCTAAATGATGAACTAGAACTCAGCTGAGCCCTCAAGGGTTAATACGCTGTTGTTAATGTAGCCCCACGCTCTACAAGGCAGCATGGACTGAGGCAGGAGGGAGGAAACACAATAGATGCAGGGCACTAGCTGCAAACACTTCCCTGCAAAAACTGAACATGATGATGAGCCCACGCTATCCAGCTGGAGCGCACCACTCCCTCCTCCTAACAGCACATGCACGGCTGCACAGGTGCTGACTTTCCAAAGTGCTGGGGGGTGCGTGCATTAGTGAAAGAGAGAGACAGGCATTGCCCCTTTAAGTACGCTGACCCTACTTCAGGTACGTTACCCTTTTAAGCAGATCAGCCCGTTCAGACAGGAAGCAACAGCTTCCAGCAAGCTCCCTTCTTTCTGAACCTGAGCCCTGTCCCCCTCCTCCACTTTGTAGCACCTCTCTACCCCGCCCCAGCAAGCAGGAAGCTCCCGGGAGCAGCTCCAAGGCAGAGGGCAGGGCAGGAGCAGCACAGCAGTGGGGGGAGAGACAGCTGAACTGCTGCTGGGCAGCTGCTGAGCCACATCCCTTAGAGGGAATTTAGGGGAGCTGATGCGGGGGTGGGCTGCTGCCTGCCCCTCCCCCCCCCCCGGTTCTAATCCCCACAAGAAGGGGCTGCTCTTCCAGAGAATCCTGCAAGCTGTGAAAAAGCTGACAGCTGCCAAACGACGTTATAAGGGAGCATTGCTCAGGCAGTGGTGCTATAAGGAGGGCTTTGGGATGTATGGCCACTGGGAAGCATTCATGTTCTCTCGGGATGGACTTCACTTGAGTAAGGAAGGAAATAGACTTCTAGGATAGAGGATGGCACAACAGATCAAGAGAGCTTTAAACTAGGAATTCTGGGGAGATGGTTGGGAGATGTCCAGGTAATCTCCACGCCAGTTGTTCTCTTTGAGAGGGAAGAAAACGAAGTAAGAAAGGATACAGCCGTGGGTAGGAGAATTGATATAAGGCGGAAGGGCAGTGTACATACCAATCTAATAGGTAACATTGGTGGTAGAATGTCTGTGCCCAATCGGGTAAAGAATGTGAGCGAAGCCAAATGGCAAAAATTAAGATGTTTGTACACTAATGCAAGGAGCCAAGGTAACAAAATGGAGGAACTAGAGCTACTGGTGCAGGAAGTGAAACCAGATATTATAGGGATAACAGAAACATGGTGGAATAGTAGTCATGACTGGAGTACGGGTATTGAAGGGTATGTGCTGTTTAGGAAAGACAGAAATAAAGGCAAAGGTGGTGGAGTAGCACTGTATATCAATGATGAGGTAGACTGTAAAGAAATAAGAAGTGATGGAATGGATAAGACAGAGTCTGTCTGGGCAAAAATCACATTGGGGAAGAAAGTACTAGAGCCTCCCTTGGGATAGTGGTTGGGGTGTGCTATCGACCGCCAGGATCCGATCTGGATATGGATAGAGACCTCTTTCATGTTTTTAAAGAAGTAAATACTAATGGGAATTGTGTGATCACGGGAGACTTTAATTTCCCAGATATAGACTGGAGGACAAGTGCTTGTAATAATAATAGGGCTCGGATTTTCCTGGATACGATAGCTGACGGATTCCTTCACCAAGTAGTTGCTAAACCGACAAGAGAGGATGCCATTTTAGATTTGGTTTTGGTGAGCAGTGAGGACCTCATAGAACAAATGATTGTAGGGGACAACCTTGGTTCGAGTGATCATGAGCTAATTCAGTTCAAACTAAATGGAAGGATAAACAAAAATAGATCTGTGACTAGGGTTTTTGATTTCAAAAAGGCTAACTTTAAAAAATTAAGGCAATAGTTAGGGAAGTGGATTGGACTGAAAAACTTGTGGATCTAAAGGCGGAGGAGTCCTGGAATTACTTCAAGTCAAAGTTGCAGAAACTATCAGAAGCCTGCATCTCAAGAAAGGGGAAAAAATTCATAGGCAGGAGTAGTAGACCAAGCTGGATGAGCAAGCATCTCAGAGAGGTGATTAAGAAAAATCAGAAAGCCTACAAGGAGTGGAAGATGGGAGGGATTAGCAAGCAAAGCTACCTTACTGAGGTCAGAACATGTAGGGATAAAGTGAGAAAGGCCAAAAGCCAAGTAGAGTTGGACCTTGCAAAGGGAATTAAAAGCAATAGTAAAAGGTTCTATAGCCATCTAAATAAGAAGAAAACAAAGAAAGAAGTGGGACCACTAAACACTGAGGATGGAGTGAAGGTTAAAGATAATCTAGACATGGCCCAATGTCTAAACAAATACTTTGCCTCAGTCTTTAATGAGGCTAATGAGGAGCTTAGGGATAATGGTAGGACAACAAATGGGAATGAGGATATGGAGGTAGATATTTCCACATCCGAGGTAGAAGCCAGACTCTAACAGTTTAATGGGACTAAATCAGGGGGCCCGGATAATCTTTATCCAAGAATATTAAAGGAACTGGCACATGAAATTGCAAGCCCATTAGCAAGAATTTTTAATGAATCTGTAAACTCGGGTTGTACCGTATGACTGGAGAATTGCTAACATAGTTCCTATTTTTAAGAAGGGTAAAAAAAAGCGATCCAGGTAACTACAGGCCTGTTAGTTTGACATCTGTAGTAATGCAAGGTAATTGGGGCAAAATACAACATGGCTTTACAAAAGGTAGATCATGTCAAATCAATCTGATCTCCTTCTTTGGGAAGGTAACAGATTTTTTAGACAAAGGTAACGCAGTGGATCTAATTTACCTCAATTTCAGTAAGGCATTTGATACGGTTCCACATGGAGAATTGTTAGCTAAATTGGAAAACATGGGTGTCAATATAAAAATTGAAAGGTGAATAAGGAACTGGTTAAAGGGGAGACTACAGTGGGTCACACTGAAAGGTGAACTGTCAGACTGGAGGGAGGTTACCAGTGGAGTTCCTCAGGGATCAGTTTTGGGACCAATCTTATTTAATCTTTTTATTACTGACCTTGGCACAAAAAGCGGGAATGTGCTAATAAAGATTGCGGCTGACACAAAGCTGGGAGGAATTGCCAATACAGAGAAGGACCGGGATATCATACAGGAAGATCTGGATGACCTTGTAAACTGGAGTAATAGTAATAGAATGAAATTTATAAGTGAAAAGTGCAAGGTCATGCATTTAGGGATTAATAACAAGAATTTTTGTTATAAACTGGGGGCGCACTACTTGGAAGTAACAGAAGAGGAGAAGGACCTCAAAGTATTGGTTGGTCACAGGATGACTATGAGCCGCTAATGTGATATGGCCGTGAAAAAAGCTAATGTGGTCTTGGGATGCATCAGGCGAGGTATTTCCAGTAGAGATAAGGAGGTGTTAGTACCGTTATACAAGGCATTGGTGAGACCTCATCTGGAATATTGTGTGCCGTTCTGGTCTCCCATGTTTAAGAAGGATGAATTCAAACTGGAACAGGTACAAAGAAGGGCTACTAGGATGATCTGAGGAATGGAAAACCTGTCTTATGAAAGGAGACTCAATGAGCTTGGCTTATTTAGCCTAACTAAAAAAAGGCTGAGAGGAGATATGATTGCTCTCTATAAATATATCAGAGGGATAA